TGTTTCACTCATTGGTGTAGTGTCCTTATGTGTCATTCATTGGACAATGACAACAACACTGTCAGTCAAATAAATTCAGTGGTACATTAAACAAAAGTGTTAATTATCATTCTTAACAAATTTCAAGCCATGATAATAATTTCAGTAAAATGTTTTGGTTTATGTGTCAGTCTGCAGGAAGAAATGAATATGAAGGCAAAGGAAAGAAAGCCAGGAAAAAACAACAGCAATTGCTGAAGCAGGAACAACTGGAAAAGAGAAGAGAACAACAACAAAAAAAGGCAAAGCCAAAGATTTCTGATGTTCTGATTCAAGGTATTATTACAATCAGGAATTCTGTAGCATTAATGTTTGTGCATCGTGAGTGGGTAATCACATAGACCCTCTTTTTTAAGGTCTATGGTAATCACTAAAACTAAGACATGTAGTAGTGTTAATAAAAGATAAGAACAGTGTGAGTGTGTATATTTCTGACACGTTGCCTCAGTGGATATTACAAGCACCACCTAGGTATCAATTTTCAAACATAGTGGTGTACTACTACATGTAAGTTGAAAGGTAGTACCTAATGTGGCGATGTGCGTTATACACACTCATGCTGTTAGTAATACTTGCATTTACTTACTGTCTTCATATTCACTATGCAGTATTTTTGTAATAAACTTGATATTACTGAACACCATCACAAGCAGAAAAAAACACATCTATCATGTTCTTTGCAGGTCCAGAAACAGTAGAAGCACCCAAAGATGGTGAGGTAAGTCTTTCTTTATAATAACTCTAGGTATTACTGTGAGTGACCGTACTATAGAAAGGTGAATGCTCAAAAAAATGACTTGGCTTGCATAGAATTTACCTCTAACTGATGGGAACACAATTGACAGTCATAACATTAATGATCTCCAGTACATGCTATGATGTGGTCAATTAACCAACACTTTTTAACTCAAGTAGTATGTTAAAATATTTAAAACAAAACATTGATTTTCCACAGGAATCTGATGATGAAAAAGAAGCTTTATTTGCTGAGGAGAATATTTCCCAGGTATTGTCTGCATTTATCATATTTATTTGATGTCAAGATTTCTTGATACCTTTATTGCTGGGAATGGATTGACCAGCTTTGTTATTAGTCCAAGAAAATTGTTCAGCTTGGAATGTGTCTGAATCCCTCATTAGTATGCAAGAATGTAGGAATGTACAAAGAAAATTGTTTTTCTGGAGTAAATTGTAGTGTATTTCACTTATGAAAGGTCAAAAAGTGCATGGAGATTTTATAAAAATGTATGGATGTTAGCAGAATGATGTCATGTGGTCACAGTTACGTAATAAATGATGGACTATTTTGCGTGTAGCTATAAAATGTGTCACCGAAGTACTCACATGTGTGCATGATTCCAATAGTTTGTGCTGTGTAGAAACTCCATTAGAAAATAAGTATTGTGTAATTTGTAGTGAGAATGTATTTAAATAGATTTTTGTTTATAAATCTTGTTTCGTGTATTTATATAATTAAAAATTGTTTATAAAAATGTTCTTTTAATATACTTTTTCGATGGATTGAATTTACAAATGATGAGTTATTTTGTTATACCGTCACTCGAATTATGTGTTACGTATTTCTGATAGTTTAGGCTTTGTGTTATCAATAAAAGCGAACATATTTCGAAAGTTGTGAAATCATGGTGCTGTTTTGGCATTATACGACTTGCAGCTCCCTTTTGATGAATTTTATGTGACTGGCCATGTTATCAAACTGTAGTATTATGTAAATCTGCCCCGGAAAATTTAAATTGGCATTTTCACGCTGCACTTAGAGTGGGGTCGTCATCTAAGTATGCACAATTGTTCGTCTCATGTTCCCCAGTGCATTTAAAAATCCCTTTTGAATTTGGGGGACTTTGTGTGACTGACCGTGGTGTTTGTAAACTTTAGTCGAACTGTAGTAGTGTGTATTAAATCTGCCACAACATGGATTTGCCATCGTCTCTCATTTAAATACGTTTGTGCCTCAACAAGGACTGAAAAGTGATTTCCATTTACTTCGTCTGTTATAAATCAACTGTGTTAGCTTCCTTCGAACTTCCTATTGCCATCGGAATTATGTCTACTACACTCGGCGGTGTAGTTCGTATCGATCTTGTATGAAACGCACCTGAACCCGGAAATCGACGGCAAATCGGGATGGTCTCATCACGTAATTTCTTACCTTGTTCTTGACCGCAGTACGCTTGGCTATGAACTTCCACATACCCACGCTTATGGGAATAGTGCATCATGGGTAATGCTGTATTGATTGAGGTGAAACAAACATGGTTGCCGTAATGCCTGTTCGACTACATCGCTCGTGTTTCTCTTCCTGTCTTAGAGTTCTCTGTTTTCTTTGATTTTTTTTATTTCAATTAAACAGCGATTTGGCTGTGACCATGCATTTAGTCATTGTCGACTGTTTTTTCTCGAATTGGTTGATTGTCATAGCAACATACGCTAAGTACAATTAAACAACTAGTCCGGAGTTGAACAGTAGTCATTTCTATCATGATTTTTTAATTTTTAGTTTAATTCCTTCAGTTAAAAATTGAGTTTCCAAAACAAATAAATAATACGTACCCTCATGTATACTTCAAATTTTCATTAAAACAAAGTCAAAGTCTTTGAAATTGCTTTTCTGTCTGTTCGCCAATCCATTGCTCCAAAACACACTTTTAAAACTCTTAATTTCCCAGCATCGAGATGGCTCTGCCAACTCTTGTTGTTAAATCGTATCAATCTATGCCAAATTCATCTACACTGGGCTCAAAAAATTATGTTAAACAACTTGTTTTACCTGCTATTGTAATTAGCAATCAATCAATCACATCTTCCAGGAATAATTCCAGGTGTAGCCTTTGTGTCTATGCAGCATAATGCAACATATCCTAATGTAATACTCCTCTTCTGTTTAGATGTACCATTATATGTGTTTGTATTATTATAGGAAAGTGGTTCTATAATAGATTCACTGACTGGTTGTCCCCACCCGGAAGATATTTTGTTATTTGCTATACCAGTCTGTTCACCATACAACACCATGCACAATTATAAGTAAGTTGAATTTATTTCGTCATTCAGGAAATCGCTGATATCACCCAACCCTTGTTTTGTTTCATAATAGTAAATATACAATATAGATTTCAAAACCATACATCTTTTGTTGAGGTTTTAATAACTAAGATTACTTTTAATAAATTTATTCCAATATTTTTTCTTTTAGATATAAAGTTAAACTAACTCCAGGAAATAGCAAACGAGGGAAAGGTTTGTTTTCTTAAGTTTTATTATAGTAGCATATCATAGCCACCCTGCACTCATGGGTTTATAAGCTTATAGGCCATATTGTGAGATAAATACAATCACAAGGTACGCCATAGACTGGCCTAGCCATGGCAATAAATATATACAGACATGCAGAAAAACGAATATATACAGACATGTCGAAAGACGAATATATACAGACATGCCGAAAGGCGAATATATACAGACATGCCGAAAGGCAAATATATACAGACATGTCGAAAGGCTAATATATACAGACATGCCGAAAGACGAATATATACAGACATGACGAAAGTCGAATATATACAGACACGCCGAAAGGCGAATATATACAGACATGCCGAAAGGCGAATATATACAGACATGCCGAAAAACGAATATATACAGACATGTCGAAAGGCTAATATATACAGACATGTCGAAAGGCTAATATATACAGACATGCCGAAAGACGAATATATACAGACATGACGAAAGGCGAATATATACAGACATGCCAAAAGGCGAATATATACGGACATGCCCAAAGGCGAATATATACAGACATGCCCAAAGGCGAATATATACAGACATGCCCAAAGGCGAATATATACAGACATGCTGAAAGGCGAATATATACAGATATATACCGAAAGGCGAATATATACAGACATG